TTAAGTTTAAAATCATCTATATCTAAAAAAAATTGTTGTACATTCTTGAAATAGAGATGTACAACTACCACATGTAATTTTCTATATCAGTTGAAGCCCGTAGTCATCCAATCTAGGCTTGATGCAATAATGTGTGTGCGCATGCGCGTGTGCGTGTGCATGTGCGCGCGTGTTTGTGCGCGAGTGTGTTTGTGCGTGTAAATAAGAATGAATCTGGAGCGTTGGATGATATAATGTGAAACTGAATTGGGCATTTAGTGAAGCTGAAATGTGCATTACATGAAATTAAAATGTGCAAAATAAAATGTTAAACTCAAATGTGTATTAGGTGAAACTGAAATGTGCAAAATAAAATCTACAAAAATGACATCACATCATAATTTTTATTCTGCACATTTCAGTTTCACATACACACTTCAATTTCACCTAATGCACATTATAGTTTTATCTCATGCACATTGAACTTCACATAAAGCAAATCTAACAGTTCAGATTTATTAACATTTCTCTTCTAAGATCATTTTCTTAATTATTTGAACCTAATTTTATACTTCCTCCGTCCCGAAAAGGTTGACCAAATTTCCTTTTTTGGATGTTCCAAAAAGATTTGTCATTTCCATTTAAAGTAAGGAATATGTGGCTAAAGTTAATTATCTCTCCTCTGCACAAATTTCAACCACACAGTTTTTACTTTATTAATCCACGTGAAAGTCAACTTTGACCAACCTTTTCGGGACGGAGGGAGTATATATATATAAGATTTAATTTCACATAATACACACTTCAATTTCACCTAATGCACATTATAGTTTTATCTCATGCACATTAAAATTCACATAAAGCAAATCTAACACTTCAGATTTATTCATATTTCTCTTCTAAGATCATTTTCTTATTTGAACCTAATTTTTTTTTTTTTAAATAAAGTGAGAGTTTTTATTAAAGTGGGAAAGAAAGGTTTGAGGCGGACATAAGGCCTTACCTCAAAACCAAATTACAACTGACGGAGATATGAGACACCTTGAGAATCAAGAATTACTGAGCCCCGAATTGGCGCAGGAAGTTGGGCCAAACTAATGTAACTAATAGGAGCCGACACATTATTTTGGGCCAAAAGATGGGCCACAGAATTGGCCTCTCTGAAACAGTGTTTGAAAGAGAATGGTTTGCCGTTAGATAAACTTTTGATTTCGGTTATTATGGGAAGCAATCTTCCTCCCGCTCTACCAAGTGATATCAGCCTCACTGCTTCAAAGGAATCGGATTCGACTTGTACATGTCTGCCCCGAACGCCCGATAACAGTTTTAAAGATTTCAGAATCGCCATGAGTTCCGCTTCTAGGATTGTGTCGCCGCTGGATGGAAAAGACCAAGCCATTAGCATTTCCCCACTGGAGTTTCTGAGAATGGCGCCACCAGATGCTCTTCTGTCACAATAACCTGCATCCACATTGAGCTTTAGACAATTAACAGGTTCCTGCCAATTGATTTTAATGAATTTCGGCTTAGGGTTGTGAAAACTGGGGGATAGTATTCGTTCAAGGGAAAGTGACTGGGGGATGTATTGAGGTTTGCTAAATTTGAGGGAATGGGTCCAGTTTAGGGTGTATTGTTTTATTGTGTGCAAGAGGTCGCTAGGTTGTGGCATATCTGAAAAGTCACCCCAAGTGAAGTTACAATAATGTTTCCATATGTGCCAAGAGATGATACCAGGTAGGGAAAGCCTGAGAGAGCCAAAAAGGGTTTTAGGTTCAGGATGCTTTAACCAGTTGGAAAGTATGGTTCTAAAGGAGGAGGGAAAACTGGGAATCCTAACGTGGTGTAGTCCCATGAAGTAGGTCCAAAGGGGCCTGATATTAGGGCATAAGAAGAAAATGTGGTCTAGGGTAGTGGAAGAGTTTTCACAAAAGGGACACCTAGATGGGAAGGGTAGGATGTGTAGTCTGGTTAGATTTTCTGGCAAAGGTAAGTAGTTATTAAGTAGTTTCCAGAGGAAACACTTAATATTGGTGTTGAGCTTAGAAAGCCAAATTTTCTTGATGAGTGGAGGGCATGAGGAGGATGTCCTGATTTCATTGTAAGCACTTTTTAAGGTGAAATTGCCATCACTGGAGGGATTCCAAACGATGAACCTAATTATATATATATATATATGTATATATATATATATATATATATATATATAAAAGATTTAATTTGCCACTTTCTTCCACTTCCAGACTACCAAATTTGAGTGCTATAACAGATTAGCAGATCATTTTTTCAAATAACCAAAAAATTATTATTTCAGGGATAATTGCACATATATCAACCGCCCAATCCAAGTTTAAGTGTCGGGGGAATTCCAAAAAGGGTTTTAAAATTCTAGGACCTCAATTAACTAATACAGAATAATAATTAATACCGAGTATATGGTTCAATTCGCAAATAGGGGACAATCAGATCTAAGTACCATAATTACCATTGATACAAATTTTGGGTACGTGCTCCGATCAAATTTTGGGTACGTGCTCCGATCGTGAGTTGCATTTTATTGCCAAATTCGATCGTTTAAACTTTGAGGGTATTTTTCAAAAATTATATTTAAATAAAATTTATTTACATGAATTTGACTATTAAGGGTATTTTTTTAAAAATATTATTAAAAAAAATTATTTACATAAAATGACTAATAGTTACTATAATGGAGTGTCATAGTAACTTAATTTTAAAAATTGGACATAATTTACTACAATTACATTTGGATTTTATAAAATAAAAAGAACCAATTTCTTGGAAATTTGATTTCTTTTCATGCCGAATATTCCTTATACGGTCATACACACTCATAGTTCATCTGTTCATACCCACACTTTCCTATTCACCCTATTCCGGGTCCCAGTGTAAGAAACAGAAAGAAAATAGGGAAAAGGGGCAAATAAGCCCTCGAACTAATCAAAAAAGTGCAAATAAGCCCTTTGTAGGAGGTTCCGTCTGTCCATCGTCATTTGGGGAGGTTCCCGGTGGAATTTTTTGATGATTTTTTTTGAGCATCTTATTCATTAAGTCTAGTTTAGTCATACCGATTTTCAGCTTAAAATTCAATCGGGAAGACAGTCAAATGAATTTTTGAAGATAACTGCGCAGTTAAACAACACAGTATATTTCCGAAAATCATTTGAGTGCCTTCCCGGTTGAATTTTTAGCTGAAATTTGGTATGGCTAAACTAGACTTAATGAAGAAGATGCTCAAAAAATTTCATCAAAAAATTCCACCGAGAACCTCCCCAAATGACGATGATCGGACAGAACCTCCTACAAAAGGGCTTATTTGCACTTTTTTGATTAGTTCGAGGGCTTATTTGCCCCTTTTCCCAAGAAAATATGAAAAGAGTTGTGTATTGTCCAAGTTTCGATTAAGAGATACAAAAATTTTGCAGAACCTATTTGAAGGTATTTGACTTGAATAATGAATATTGAATTCATAAGAAAGTTCCACCAATAAGGGTATGCAAAAACAAGTTATTATTTGTACACATTTTTATACACAGTCTTATATCTACTGTATGTGAGAAAGTTTTTTTTTGTTTGTCAACACCATTCAGGGGCGGAAGTGGAGGGGTGGCCAATCGGGCCATGGCTCAGCCTAAATCTTAAAATTCTTTATATTTTTAATGTAAAAATTTATCCGTAAAAATTATTTGTATCGGCCCAACTCAACTCTTACTCCCGGCTACGCCCCTGACCCCATTCACATACAAACAGGACTTGTGTGTCTGTGAACAAGAAAAAAATCTTGTCACAGACAGTGGGTATAAAAAGAGTATAAAAGTGTGTACAAACTGTTGATGGATAGACCGGATAAACCTACAGAAAAACGTCTAGAAAAATAATATAGCTCAAGAGTCATAAACATTATCTTCATGAAAGTATTTTCAACTAGCGAAGGTAGAATAGAAAATATTAATCCAGCAGAATAAGACTCTAGAAAATATGTTTTGCTAGCTACTCAAAAATACATAATAATGTCTTCTCTTAAGAACTATAATGGATGATCGTTGCTAGCCACATGAAGAAACGGATGAAATTAAAGTTACTTAATGTTTTACACATTTGAACATTAACGTAGGATGTGTAACATAAAAATTGTTGCCCTTGTGATTAATGCAAACCGTTTCAAATATATTCAACAGTCAGTGTTATCTCATATATACTATCTTCGTCCCATTAACATTGGACACATGAGGGGTGACACAGTTTTAAAAAAACGAGTTTTTGTGTTCAGTATTGAATTGATAAAGTAAGAATAAAGTAAGATTGATTTAGAATTACACAAACATTATCAAATTTGATATAAAACAATGTTATTAGGACGGTTCAAAAAATAGATGAGACAACCATAAACGGATGTAGAGAGTATCATTCAGGAATTGATCTTTTTATTGTGTACCAGTTCCGTACATAGTTTAAACATCACAAGGTTGTCCGGTTATTTTAAACAACCTTACGTGTAATTTCGTGGTTTTGCAAAAACCCGATTCAGATCGGACCGATCCCACCCCGATCACAAACCCAACTGTCACGTGTCCACGGTCCACCCATACTATCCACCATTCCATCCTATAAATGCTAATTTGGAAAAGGTTGTTAGAAAAGGTTTTTAGTAATCAGTTAACTCCGGGTTGTATTTTGGCGGGTCATTGATAACCCTTTCGAATTTCCAAAGACTTTTTCTAACGGCAGTCGCATGTGGCCTGTCACCGTAACGGAGTTTGGACCACATGATCTGTTCACGCCACACCTCAACCTCGCCGCCATACCTTCTCTCTCTTATTCTCGGCCATCCGATCTCATCCATTTCCACCGCCGAATACCCACTTTGCCCCTCTGGACTTCACTAATTCCCTCACTGCCCCAATGTCAAAACGCTTTCCGTTGACCACCTTCCTTCTCTCACACACACCGCATGTATGTATTGATATAAATATACAGAGTATATATATACTCACATGCCGTGTATTCTGCAGGGAGAGATGTGGATGGATACGTAAGAATGGGAGAGAGATCGGAGGGGATACCGGCGATAGCAACGGCGACGGCGGTTGAATTTATAGGCGACAACGCAGCTTTGAAAACGACGATGGCGACTTTAGAGGTCACGAGCTTCAGCTCAAGTAAGAGTAAAATGTCCACTGCGGGAATGCGTGAGTTCGGTGCTCAAAACGTCGATCGGTGGGGAATTTCGCCGTTGCCGGCCGACTCCACGTCGTCCGTTTGGAGTGAGTCAACTTCGAGTGCGCGCCGCAAGCCAGACGAGGTCGTTTTCAGAGATATCTGAAGATCGTTGGATATGCAGGTCCCGATTACCGAAACGTATTCGTAATTTAAGTCCGCATTAATTTCGGCGTATTGAATTAATAATGTTCCTCCAGATTTTCTATTTTTGAAATTTGAAATTGATTTCAGGATGAGGATTTTGAAACCGACAATTCAGCTTACGTCCTCGGCAGTTTCAGGTATTTATCAGCCCCTACCCTCACCTCACAGTTTAATGTAATTTAATGAATTTAAGATTCTTCATAGTGCGTCTCTTCACTTTTTGAAACTAATGTATATATATAGAGCTGCTTAATTTTTGCTTTAGTTTACATTTGATTTGAAGGTGTGAATTTTTTCTTCGGTATTTTGGACGAAGAAATTGAGATTTATTAACGCGAATCGTTTAAATTTTGCAGCAGTAGAGAGAAAATTCGAACGAACGAGCTTCGCGGAGACGCTGTAGCGATCATGGAATCCAGCTCGGCGGCGAAAGAGAAATCCAGTGAGGCTAATCGTCGCCTTCGCGAGAAGGTGCCGGCAGGAAATATGCCGTCAGCGGCCGAGATAGAGGAATTCTTCGCGTCCAAGGAAAAGTACGAGCAGAAGAGGTTCCAAGAGAAGTAAGTCAAAAAGTTGTAGCCATAGCCAGTACTGTACATTCATACCTATACATTATGTATGTACTGCGGAGAAATTATTTAATTCAATTTTTTGTTTTTTTTTTTGTTTTCCATTATTATTGATGATTTGCGGCGGCGGATGATGATGACGGTGGTGGTGGTTGTGATCAGGTACAACTATGATGTGGTGAAGGACGCGCCTCTAGAAGGTCGTTACCAGTGGGTTCGTCTCAATAATCCTTAGCTTAGTTGATTGCTGACAGATCGAGATGAGGGTGGATTAAAGTGATCCAGAAATTTCTGCTACTCCCTTTTAGGCATGCAATTACTAGTTTTTTAGTCAGTTGTATGTACAGTTCTGTGATTCACGAACCTTTCTCCTCCACTAGCTGAACTTCACATTTCCATTTCCACTTCCAATTCATACGATTTCGGTCACTTTTGTTAATACGGAGGAATATTTACCACACACTTCCATTTCCGTATTATACCATTTCGTTTGTTTTTGTTAACGGTGAATTCCTTCCATAATTTTTTTTTTTTTTTTTTTGCATTCAGGCGTAGTCCAGGCATCGGGTCGGGCACCCGTTAGAATGCGCGGATTCAAACAACTTTTAGATAAAAATCATTTTATGTTTGTTGTCTCAATTTCGTATAATTATTAAAAAAGTGATTGAAAATGTAAAAATTATGATTGAGATTTGAATAAAATAGAAAGAAGTGTTGGTAATCACATATTTTCTTCAAAATAAAAAAAATATAACACATATTTTGGGATAATTCAAAAAAGAAAGTAAGAGGTAAAATAATGATGTTTTCTTTTGGACTAAAATTTGTTGGTCTGGTCTGATCTATTTAAGTCTGGTCTAGTCTGGTCTGGTCTGGTAAACGTCTGGTTTCTGTGTATTTTATAACTATGAAAGTCTGGTCTGGTCTGTTTAAGTCTGGTCTGTTTAAGTCTATTCTGGTCTGGTCGGGACTGAAAACCGTCTAAAAGAAAATTTTATTTGCACAAATAATTACGGAGTATAAATGTGAGATGATTACCTCCGTTCCTGATTGCCTTTGTTTGATAAAATAGTTACCCTGTCTTATATTTTACTCCGTATCATTTTGAACTTTTAGAGTAGTTTAATAATGATATTGAAATTGACTTAATTTCTTGAAATTGTGTTGAAATTGATTGAATTCTAATTTATTTAATTTAGTTGATGAATTATAGAAAGAAAATATTTGAAATAAAGAAGTAACTATAAATCTACTCATTATTATTATTATTATTATTATTATTATTATTATTATTATTATTATTATTATTATTATTATTATTATTATTATTATTATATAATTAAGTGTACAAAATTAAAAGTTATACATACGTACAATAAAAATTAGAACTTATTTACAAAGGCTCATAGGTGATAATGTGATATCAAATAAACTACCTTCATTACGGTAGAAGAGGGGTAGGGGCTTTAGGTCCTCAATTTTTTAGACACACGACATTTTTTATTTATATTGCGTATAGGCTACAAGCAATTCGGTAATACACACCCTTCATTTTTGTTTTCCCCTGCAATACAGTACTACGTTTATGTTAATACTAGTTGTTCTACGCGCGTTGCGCGATAGGAAGATGCCCAATGGTAATGCTTTGCATGACTTAATAGCACTATCATGGTTTTATGTAATGCACCCTCCATCCCTTTTTGTTTAGCAAAATTTGACTTTTCAAGTCAAAGAAGTTAAACTTTTACCAATTTTATATTTATACACGTTAATATTGATAATATGAAAATGATATGGAAATATTCTTTGTGAAAAGTACTATCATAAAAGTATAGATTTATTGAGTTTCATATAAATATATTAGTTAAAATAATGGATCAAATAAAGTGTATCATCTTTGAATGGAAATGTCAAAATGACTAATTAAAAAGGAACAGATGTAGTTAAAATCACTAATGACAACAAAATCATATAAATGAAGTCACGATTTATATAATAAGTTGTAATCTTCACTCGTCAAATGACCTAAAACATAAATGCAACATGGGAATACACTTTTGTGATTCACAAATATATACACGAGAGTCGATCTAAATTAGACTATGAATTGAAAAAAGTTTCATATTAACAAAAAACACTCACGTAAAAAATTTACAAATTACAATTTAATACTTTATCAATTTATTCTTATACAAAAAACATTGACTACCATTCATTCTTATATTATTCACTTTTTCAATTTAATAGAATCCTAACATTTTCACTTTTCTCTATAACCGTACCACTCACTTTTGTCTCAATATTAAGAGGACGGAACCCGGAGGTAGTATGTTTTAGTAATATTAATATTGTACTACTTGCGTCCCTTAAAACTTTGTCATCTTTGACTTTTCAAGTCAATGGTGGTAAAGTTTGGATCATGATTTTGATTAGTATAATGTTATGAAAGTGCATGATAAGTTTTATACTTTTATGAAAGTACTTTTAAAAAGGAACATTTTCATATAATTTTTATATTATAAATAATATTCTATAATAATATATGATTGGTCAAAGTTGAACATGGTTGACCCAAAAATTCAAAGATGGTAAAGTTTTAAGGGACGAAGGGAGTATATGAGTGACTTTTTTGTTGGACAAGCCTGACACGAACCGTCGTGCGGCTGCCTACATTTTTTGAGTTAAATAAATTATTGAAAAACGCTGCGCCAAAATCTATATAAAAGCACACTGTTTTCAATAATTTATTTAACCAACTTTCTGATTGAAATTTAAGGATATAATCTAGACTTCATAAAGAACATGATCAGAAAATTACATATAAAAAAAATCACCCGAAACTACCTCAAATGGAGGTGGCCGGACAACGTTTCTTATTAGGACGACATGACAGAAAGATTATCTATTGATATTAAAACATCATAAATATAACTACTTATATTAGCACACCTTTTATACGTATTACTCCTATATGGAGGAATTTTTTAGAATTAAAATTCCAAATCAATCACTGCACGAAATCTAGGATAAAAGTGAAAAATTAAACATATTATTTTCAAAGGAGAGTTCGAACGGTTGAGAAGTTGAAACTTTCAAATGAAACTATTTATATGATAGTTTTTTATATAAAATTTATGTGATGGATGGTAAATAATATGGAGTACAAGAGTTATTTGATAAATTAAAGACATCAACACGTAGAAGATTGGAGTATTGGACTACATATAAAGTAGATAGACCGTCTTCCATTAATGTTCCCAGACAATAACGGAGATCAAACGGAAAGCCTAATAACCAAAGATTTTGACTTTACGGACAACTTACATAGCATAGAGTACAATTAAGAATTGCTTTATGTTACACCAACAAATTTTACATTCCTAAATAGCCTTAACCCTCATTCACCTTTATAAGTTTGTAGATATATTCATCATGCACTATGTCTATTTGTTTAATACATTGATCAATATTTGTATTATTGCAAATGATGTTTTTGACAAAGACATAAGAACAATTACAATTTAAAAAGTCACACATTACGAGGTAAAAATAATAAATTTCATTTTTATTTTTCCATAGTGATTTATGACAAAAAAAATTGAAAAGTGTAGAAATTTATTATTGTTATAGTTGAATATTAATTTTAGAATTTTGGACACAAAATTCTATGAGATTTAACAATAATTAATTTTAGAATTTTGGACACAAAAATCTCTAGTTGTTAGATCTTCAAAACTAATATTAGAATTTCAGGTTCTATGAGACCTGAAAGCAGGTTCTCCAATGTGATGTCGTCGCTGATGAGTTCTACTATCCAGCAGCACCAACGGCGGAGGGCGGAGGATGCTAAAATTGTTGGAAAATGTGTTAAAAATTGCATTCGATGGTCAATTTTGGGCAATATTTTGAGTGGGTTCCATTTCCGCTTTGAGTCAGATCAAAGTGGTTTCTGATTGCCCTTGTTAAGAACTACAATTTGATATGTGGTGCGCTCAAAACGGATAACGGGTGAATGAGAAATTGATTTTCGAATTTCACTCGTTGAAATGGAGAAAACTAGGAAAATGATGAGTTTCTAGTGTGATTTATCCCACACCGGAAAACCCAAGGGATTTCACCCCTTAAATAAATAACCCTCTTTGAGGGAGTTAAGATTCTTAGGTGGAAAGGCTCTCTTCGTGCCAGGGGTGGTGCCGATCAAATCCCGAAAACGGAGAAGAAAAAGCGCGACTTGCGTGCGCGGGCGACCTGTGGACACGAATGTCGTCCTAAAATCTATCTTCTAAAGATGAGATTAAATTTTTGTTTCTTCCGGTAAGGTTTCCTATTTTTGCTCCAGGTCCAACCCTGTTGGGAGGAGGATGCTGCTCCATGTTGAACGCCCAGAAGCAGGCTGCTGTTGAGGCATTACAACACAATAAACGTCCAACGTTCCTATGTCATTATGATATGATGTGTTAAATGGACAGTTCATGAACGATTAAATGCCCAACGGTCTGGTCATTGAAGTCCAACTTTCAGGTCCATTAACTGCGCCATTAGCACACAAATCCTTCCCTATAAATTGGCTGGGGCAGGTGTTTTGCAACAACACATGTTCAGAAATGAACTTACACATTCCCAACGTAGTTTTGAGCTCTAAAAATGCCTCCAGCATTATGCAAATTTCCTTAGTGTTATGGTTGTGTTTCCGTTCGCCGGAACCTTCGTTGGTGTGCTCAAACTATCGTTCGTTGGCCACCGTATCCTAGGAAACAGTCGTTGCAACGCTCCTAGCACCGTGGGAGGCAACGAATACTTTTAGGACATTATGTGTAGCACAAGCTCTAGCTAATTTCCATTCCATCTTATTTCTGTTTTTCTTTGATTGTTTTAATTATTTTTTTATTTAATTAATTTCTTCGTTTTTCCGAGAACCCACCCAATAATTTTGTGCAACCACGGATGCCATATTTTATCGTTAGGTGTTGTTGTAACGGTGTGAAAAGGTTCCATTATCTTTGTCGATCTAGATAGAAGCTGTTGAAGTATTGCTACTACACAGCCATATATAGTAGCCATCCTGAATAGTACGTAGTATAAAACTTTATCCTGAAATATTTAGTTTCAAACTTAGTGCAACTTCAAAAACGAAAATACCTTGTCGTTACGTTGTACTACGTATTTGTTTGCGTGACGAAAGTAAAAAAGTTCGTGGGATTATTAGGGCAAGATATTTGTCGTATTAATTAATTACTTCATATAAGTAGTATAACTAGATATGTTTCATAAATCTTTCCTATCCCCTGAGACTAAACTGGCGTCATTAGTATATATGAAAGCTAATGCAGTTAGTGCTTAGCACCCAACTATAGCAAGTAGCAATTCAATAGCTTAGGGGTGATGCTTAGGCCAAGAAAACAATTAAACAAAACAAGAATTTCTTGTCATTATCTCCCAATTTGGAGTTTTAACTTAATCCTGGGGATCTTGCCAATACCTTGTTTTCACCTTCCCCATTGGAAAATTGAAAGCTTTTTATGGTGTTTTTGTTGGTGGAATGTCAGAGTCTGTAATTCTAATCCAAAATCTTCAAGTCTCTACTCATTTGGCTCTACATACATGACATCCGCTTTTATGGTGCAAACCTGCTTTTTAGCCATTCTCAAATTTCCTTCATGATTTCATCACCTTTATCCCGTTGATCTTACCTACTTAGAGCCTGAAAAAATTGGCTACTTCTTTTTATAGCTTGATTGATTTCCTACACTAGTATTTTTAACAAAAAAATTTAAGCTAAAAGTAACCTAATGTTTAGCTATAACTTCTTCATTTTTGTAGTGATTTCCTTTCTTTCGAGATAGTAACTTTTGATTAATTGACTTTTTAAAACAAAAAGAAAAGGGATGTACTAACGCTAGACTATTTTTGCTCTAAAATTGTAAACAAAAGTCTTTCAAATGAATCATCATCATGAGACATCCACCTGAACTCACTTTATTGTATACAAGTGTTTCTAAGGGCCACATATCACAACCTAGTCTTAGGTCATGACTACCCAATTGATGCATCTATTTGTAGACATTACTTCATTATAATATGGGAATTTTGAGTTTGCTCTTCACTTTTTGGTGATATTGGACTTTGCACTCCATTTTCAAAACTTTTGGACTTTGCACCCTGTTATACAACATTTTGTGAAGAAAAATTTCTGAATGAGGTGCAAAGACAAAGACTTTTTAGGGAGAATAGAATGTAAAGTAAAAGTTTTGAAAATGGGGTGCAAAGTCTAATAACATCCAAAAAGTGAGGTGCAAAATCAAAATATCCCTTATAATATCTTACTCCATATATAGCAGTCCTTTCACCCCTACAACATTGTCACCTTAATCACGTTCAATTCTGACGAATTATATATTTTTATAAGAATAATTTAGCATATGAATATGTTCTTTGTTAATGTAGTATATATAAGTAAATAATTATAATAAACAATAAGAATCGATGAAGACCATGGTCCATGAACATAAAGTACTAAACTAGAGTGGTTTCTGTAGGAATGAAGAGATAATATAATAGACGTGGTCCAGATTGAATTGGCTGCATCATCGTTTGGGGATTTCTTCCTCCCCTTTTCAGCAATCTTCTTCAATGGTCTCTTTCCTTCTTAATCAAAATATTAAAAACTCAATCGAGATTTTGACCCTTTTTTATCTTCAAATTAAATTATGAATAAATTTAAGTTTTTTCTTCTCTATCAATTCATAACTAAAGTTTTACTAATCTAAAACACACGTTCGTATTTATATTTGAAAGTCTTTAACGTATCTTCAAAATAGCATTTGTATTTAAAAATTCGTATTTGTATTTTTTAATTCAAATACAGTTCTCACTGTATGTCCGGTGTACTGTTCTTAATGTACCACCGATTATTGCATATTATTTTTAATGACTATAATGTTTAAACAAATAAATATTGATATTAAATAACTGTATTTGTAACACAGATGAATATTTTAAAGAATACAAGTACCCGTAGAATATATATGCTACAAATCAATTTATTCATTTAACTATATTTGCATTGTAATGTCATCAAAACATTTACTATCTCCGTTCTCTTTTAATTAGAACATTGAACTTTTTAGTCTATTCACATATTCTACTTTGACTATATTTTATTTATTAATGTATTATTAATTAAATTTCTAAAAGATGTCGTTAAATTCTTCTCATTCTAAATTTTCAAAATATGAATTTTTTTAATTTTTTAATAATAATGATTGAAAGATATTAACTGTCAAACTTGTGCGTTGACAAACATGAAATGTTGACTGTTGTAATTAAAATGGAATAAAGAAAATATTATTTATTGTGTTAATTTTATAATAATACCCATAATCATTTCTTTTAAACATTACCCCTGTAAAATTGCCGGCTGGCACATGGTAGAAAACCGGTTGGACTGTAAATTTTGGAGCTGGTAACGACTGAGGTGGCAGATGTATCCATCATTTATCCACCACGATCATTTCTTCGTCTGCTCAACCTAACACACGACTCTCTTCACCTCCCCATCAGCCCGATCAAAGTATACTGTATCTGGGACCGGCGGTTTTGAGATGTGGAGCGACGGCGGCGACGGCAGAGTGTTCTGGGCCGAGAGGGAGAATTTCGCTGAAGATAAAGTGAAAGGGATCGTGGTTCTATTCGCCTGGATTTCGGTACAAGAAGCTCACTTGAAGAACTACATCAATCTCTATTCTTCTCTTGGATGGAACTCTCTCGTCTGTTTCGCGGATTTTGTCAATACGTAAGCTCTTCACCATCTTTTCTACGCATGTTTTTAATCTTCTCTGTCGTAGTTTCTTCAGTGTCGTTGTATATCGAAATCTTAGAACTTGCAGCTAATGGGTTGGGTAATTTGGGTCTGGGATATGGGAAGATTGGAAGAAAGAAAAAGAAAGTCAAATACAAAGTGTGAGTTGGGTTTTCTGGTCAACATTTTTTTGTATAAACCAGTCTCAATGTCATAACGCTTTTCCAGCGTCTTTTCAGGGTTGAACGTGTTGGTTTTATATATCTTAGGTGGATTATTTGTTCCAATGGTTTCATTAGTGGCCAACAGACTTCTGCAATGGTTGAAATGCTGAATTTTCAATGGCTTGAAGCAGCAAGAAGTGCCGGTTTAGGAGGAAAGGAAACATAGGAGTTCGTTAACTTTATTTCTGCAATTTCAGCATTTAAGGAAGACATATTGCTACATATGGGTGTGCTGTTAGGCGTTTGATGTGTAACCTGTGATCTAGAGATCTCTGTTGTTTATTTGGGTTAGGTTCATACACCTCGGGTTGATATTGCATGTTTAATGAGGAGTGATTATATAACCGTTGCATTCTTTATACTTTTAGATACTTTTTGGCGTAAATTGAGCTTGTTGAACAATTTTCTAACAGATATATTCCTGAGAGGGCCACGTCACTTGCTCTTTCTCTGGTTTGTGAACTTGTTGAGGTTAGTTTTTTTGTTTTGTTACTTATACACCGCAAATATGTATTTTCATGTAATTTGAGATTGATAACCTGCTATTTGCCTTGCTCTCATATCAGAATTTTTTGCTGAGGGAAAAAATTTAATCGTACTTGAAGCATCTCTTTTTGTTATGTATTCTGCATTTGTGTTGTTTCCGTCTTAGAATTGCAAGATAAATTTTGTTTGAAATTAGTTTGATTTTGCATCACAACTATTAGCTATAGCAGCGTAACTACAACCACAATGAGCTAAAAAATTCCACAATGTTTGGTTGACTTTTGTTAACCTCTCAGTTTTGGAAGTATAACAAGAATTAGTGACTTATTGTAGCTCGAATGCCCCTCCCAAACAAGTTAAGGGGTGGGAATTGCATGACTCATTTTCTTCCGAATGGTGTCAAAACAGAGACCACTTTTTGATGCATCTGACTCGCTGATCTAAATCCTTTGTCTCAATTGCACTACTTTGGATACGTGTAGGAGATAAAGTGCAGACCATATCCAGTAGTGCTTGTGTCTATTTCTGGTGGATCAAAAGCCTGCATGTATAAATTTGTTCAGGTAACACTATATGCAGATATAAGTCAATCAATTTTATTCAATGAAGTTTAGTACTTATATATTTTGTTACATGTGTTGCAGATCATTGAAGGGGAATATGAAGCACTGCTCAATTTGGTACTCATTACAAATTTGAGATGAAATTTCAATTTTTATAAAAGACTAATAATCGTAAGCTAACAGTTCTAATTGACTGGATTTTTTTGGCGTAGGGGGGGTAGCAAAATTGTAGCCAATTGCATCTGTGGTCACATATTTGATTCTGGTCCTGTTGATTTTACAGCTGATTTCGGGGCCTGCTTTGCTCTACCGTCTACCCTTCTCAAAGTGCCTGGTTCTGCAAAGCTTGTGTCTTTGGTAGCAAGAGGTTTTACCTCGGGACTAGATGCTTTGTTCCTGACTAGATTTGGTCCCCAGAATGCTGAATATTGGGAATCTCTCTATTCCACTATAGTAAGTTTCAAATTTTGGATGAAGTTTCTTGCAGGTTGTTTTCTTTATATAAATTTAATATGCATCTTTTTTCCCTCTTCTTGTTACAGAGATTTGAGGCCCCATTCCTCATTTTGTGCTCTGAAAATGATGAACTTGCTCCATTTCAAACGGTGTCTAAGTTCGCTCAGCGGTTGCGAGATATTGGGGGATCAGTTAGAATTGTGAAGTGGAAGAGCTCACCTCATGTTGGTCAGTACTCCATCTTATAAATGGTGCCTAAGGTTTTACTTGTACAACTGGCAAACGTTGTGAAATTCATTTACATATCATGACTGATCTACTATGGTTTTGCATCTGGTATACTTTATCAGTTTGTCACAGTCACAATTACTTAATTCTAGATTAATGCACGATTTAGTCCATCGAGTCCTCGACTACCCATTATCACTCAATTTGGTCATTAACTTTCCTTTGGTCTCAACTTGATCCTTACCTATGCATGTTTTGCTCTATTTAAGAATCTTTCTGTCCAAAGACTAAATTGGTTCCAAATTAGACAGTTCTGTATGAAATTGATTCCTAAGTTTTGGCTGAATTTTGTGAATGGATGAAAATACCCTACTAATTTGGAGACATTATGTATGAGCACTAAATTGCATCCTAATTACCTTGGTCAATGACTAAACTGAATAAAAAATGTAGTCCAGTGCCAAATTGCTTAAGAATGTAATATTGTATAGTCGATGGACTAAATCAGATATTAGCCCTTAATACTGTACATGACTTGGTGGACTTAAAGTTGATAAAGCGTAACTAACACAGGATGAACAAATGACATTGTTCCTGTTGCTGGAGCACTTGGTGCTTGGGCCTCCTGGAGCACCGAAAAAATTCATCGACTGTGAGGCCATTTGGATGGTTTTTTAACGAAGAAAAGGAACATATCTAAAAGTAATATTTGTGCCTTTGTGGTGCTTGTATTAAAATAAAATTGATTCTAGTACTCTTGGTCAAAATTAAAAGGACCAAATGTGCATTTTTTAGTAATTCCAAACAGGCACTACAAATCTACAATCCTTGATAGTTTGTGTGTTCATGCATTGGTTGCCTTGTTGTACAGGTCATTTGGAGAACGATCCGATCCAGTACAGAGCTGCTGTAACGGAATTGCTTGCACTTGCATCCCTGGTGTTCACCAACAAAGTCAAGAAACTGGGTGATCAAAAGGACTTGGAAGGTATACATGGCGATATATCTGATTTGGTATGTAACCTCCAAAGTGCAGCAGTTGACTCGAACAGAAGTCTTAAAAGGGTTGAACTTGGTCCAAACGCACATTTATTCTTACCGACTTCAGAAGAGAATCAGAACAGTGGGGAGGACTATGGTGAGAAAAAGGACAAATTGCCACATAATAGGCCGACCACGAGTATTATTAATGCCACCCATAGTGTTCTTGGCCAAATCCTCTTTGATGCATGTGTCCCAAAGAATGTTGAAGGTTGGGATATAAAATTCTCTAGTTTTCCAGAAGCCCATCCGTTTACTTCGTATAATAAAAAACACTCTCTACAAAATACAGCCAAGAAGCGCCTTTTCCGATCACGGATGTGAATGGCTTATCTCAAGAGATTAATTTTTAACTAAATATCACCCAACAAAGCAGACCTCGAATGAAACTAGAGGTTGTGAGAGGTGGTTTTGACAGGGACTACAAGGAATTTGAGAACAATTTGTACTCCGTATAAAGAAAAAAAAAAGGAGAGAGCTGCGTCTTCATAGCTTCTTCTGTGATTCTGTTAGCACTCAAAGGTGAAACAGTACTCACTGCATGTTGACTGGTAAATATGTGAGCAGTGAAGGAGTAATGGCCTATATTGTAGGCTTAAAGCGAGTCTGGAGATCAACAAACAAGATGATGTACTTTGTAACAGGTGTAGTCACATCAATGATGAAAATATTTGGTCACTCATTAAAATGTAGTCCTCTTTTTGTTTCTGCAAATGTCATCCTTTTAATGTGTAGAGATTATTACATTATTTAACGGTAGAAGTTAAAAGACATCTTTTAAATGTATACTGCCTCCACAGCTGGTATTCTAACACTTGGTAGAATTTCATCAATTATGCACTTCTTTGGAGTGTTGGTTAATCTTTTGGTTGTTCAGTTTAACCCCTCTTGAACTTCATAAATTCTTCTATCAGTTTAATTGCAGCTATATACCTCTAGAAATAGTGTGTGAGGGTAGTGAAGGCCACTTATGGAGTACATTTCCTTAAAGGGTCTGAATGTCTGATTTAGCAAGGTTGAATTCTTAGTAGAGGAATGAGAATGAAATATAGTCATTAATTTAATTAATCTAATGGACACTAATAGCTTTGGACCCTGATGTAATCAATATAATATTTCGACTAAGGGGTTGTTCACTTTTCTTTTCTATGAAGTCTGGTATGAATTAAGACGTTTCTCTGGATTAATTGGTAATTGTATATGAAGTTGTTTACTTTTTGTTATGAGTATACGGTTTGAATTGAGTAAAATAATCAATTTAGTATTAAAATAATCAATTAAGAAACGTCTTAATAGGAATGAGTACTATATTTCAGCTTAATGATTAAGTCAATTTTTTGATTGAATAATGAAGTTGTGCTTTTTATTATGTCGTAAGTAAACATGACGTAATGGTTGAACGATTAGGTCAATGTTCTCATTAAGTCCATTAACTCTAGTTTGTATAAGAAAAATAGGGGTATCACAAACGGTGAGTTTCGAGTTCGATTCCTGTCAATTACGATGAGAGGTTATTATACAAAAATGCTTAGAGCATCTCCAATGGTTGCTTCTAGGGACTTGCTTGCAATTTTGAAGCTATTAGCCCACCATTGGAGTGCATCTTCGTTTCTAGCTTGGACAAGCAAATTAGCCAAAACAAGCTAATTGCTAGAAAGGAGAGAAACTTGGATTAAAATGATAAGTATCAAATATATTTAATTTATTTGTAACTGATATATTATATTAATTAATTATGCAACGGTAAAGTGTGTAATAGAACGATCAAGTTCCAAATTAAAAGTGATTTCAATCTCTTCCTCTTAATTATATATACCAAATGGTTTTAAAAGTTAGTTTAACAATATTTTATCCTACTCCCCCACTACTCTTATTTTTTCATACGTAAAAATTTAGTGTACTCTTCAAATGGAGGACTATTAAAACCTATACAACAAGTATTACTCTATTCTGAAAAACTCTTCAAGCACCGAAAATCCAAACTCTCAAAATTTCATCTCACATATATCAACCCCAATAAGAACGATGTAGTGCATCACATTTGCATCACACACACACACACACACATATATATATGGGAAAACTGTCAAATAGGTCCTCGAACTTTCATAAAAAAGTCAATTAAGTCCTTCTATCGGAGACTCTGTCCGGTCGTCGCGATTTGGGGCGGTTCTTGGTGGAATTTTTGATGAAATTTTTTGAGCATCTTATTCATCAAGTCTAGTTTATTCATACCGAATTTCAGCTAAAAATTTAATCGGAAGCGCATTCAAATTAATTCGAGAACGCAAAAATGCGCAGTTATCTTCAAGAATTAATTTGAATGTGTTCCCGATTGAATTTTTAGCTGAAATTTGGTATGAGTAAACTAGACTTGGTGAATAAGATGCTCAAAACATTTCATCAAAAAATTCCACCGGTAACTGCCCCAAATCACGACGGCCGGACAGAACCTCCTATAGAAGGACTTAATTGACCTTTGTATGAAAGTTCAAGGACCTATTTGACAGTTTTCCCTATATATATGGAGAGGTTCTAATGAGAACACCCCTTATTGTGAGAAATGAGAACTAATCTTAATCGCTAATCATATTAAATCAACGGCATATAAAACGAATGGTGCACACTAGTACAGTGTACGTCCCCGCATATGACACCTCTTCCACCTCAAACTTGTGAAACCGTAGACTTTATAAAGGGCATGAAAGTCATTATCATTAGCAATACACATACGGCCTTTAGAGGCTTCCATTTTCTACAAAGTAGCAATAATTACTTGACATAAATAAGTTGATTCAAATTTGGAAATAATAAAAAATTGATTTCTGGATATAGAAAATTAACTTGCCATTTTAGAATTAAAAGTAAATAAAACACTGAAAAAGAAGTGCAATGAACTAATATCTAACACACAACCACTAATATCTAATGCACATAAATAAGTATCTTACACATTATTTGTATGAAAAACACCAGAACAAGTATTTTAAGCACAAAACCAATTATCTAATTAACAATAATTAAGAACTAATATCTAATGTATAAGAACTTATACAACTTAAATTATTGTATAACACACAAGAATCAATATCTGATGCAAAATATGTATATGCGCCTAAGAACCAATTTTTAGCACATATTATGTACATAAAGAATCAAGTGTCTAATGCTAAATAATCCATATCTAATACACAATCATCAATATCTAGTGCACATGAACAATACCTAACTCACAGTTGGTATAAATTATTGTTGTGTACCATTGAATTATAGTTGTTCATTAGTAAATCCTTATATTATTTTGAGGTTAGGGTTTCAATTGTGCACAATCATATGCAGTGGGGTGATGTATGTAGTAGTTGAAGTGATGGTTGTGTTTTTTGATAATTAACATAGAGAACTAGAAAGTGAAAAAAATTAAGTATATAAAAAAACACAGAAATGAATCCATTAGAGTCTTGTAAGTGGACAGAGAATTAAGGTGGATCAAATATATAAGTGGAGCAGAGAATTAAGGTTAAAAATAAAGTGCAATGTTTTAGAGGACGTGTTATTACTCATTCCTTTCCTAACGTGGAAGATACGCATTTAATTAAATGCCGGTTACAAAAAACTGCCGAAAAGAATTATACAAAAAATGCCCTTGGTTATTCATTCGATCATCTTAATGCATTATGTATGTATTTTGGATGTCTCATATTTGTTCTCAATTCTTACAAAGTAGTCTTAATTTACAACGTGCAAATTAATCTAGGCCATCCATATGAATGAAATAAGGGTGTAGATGGATAAGTCCCCCATGGTTTTCATGTAGTGGTTAGAATCCTAAAAAAACTCCTAAAAAACCCTACCATACAGCTCATTATTAGTGTTCAAAACAACTCCTAACAAATCCTGCCATTGATTGTATAATATTGGACGGATGAGATGATTTTGCATTTTGTATGGGAAGCTTACTTTGTATCTGATCTTAACCATATATATATATATATATATATATATATAGAGGAATGCTCCTGTCCAGACGTCCGGACAGGAGCCGCCGTCCGGCCGGCGGCGTTTGGCCGCCTTCCCGGTGGCATTTTTTGATGAAATTTTTATGGCATGTTCTCCATCAAGTCTAGTTTATCCACAAAAAAATTCAGCCAAAAACTCAATCGGGAAGGTCGTCAAATGATTTTTGCAAGTTAACTGGTCCGGAAAATACATATTCCGGACCAGTTAACTTGCAAAAATCATTTGACGACCTTCCCGATTGAGTTTTTGGCTGAATTTTTTTGTGGATAAACTAGACTTGATGGAGAACATGCCATAAAAATTTCATCAAAAAATTCCACCGGGAAGGCGGCCAAACGCCGCCGGCCGGACGGCGGCTCCTGTCCGGACGTCTGGACAGGATCTTTTCTATATATATATATATATATATATATAGGGGAATGTTCAGGTGAGAATGATGTTTCAGGAGAGAAATGAGAATAAAATCTAACCATCTATTACCATTAATATACGGTGAAGATTTGATCTAAATGTGCCATGGTAATATTGTAATTAGGTGGAATTATGAGGGAAGATCTTATGGCAAAAGGAACGGAATTAATGATAAGGTCATATGTGTAAAATGGTGTAACAATACAATCGGTCATGTAAATTCCTTTCCATAAAAATCTCATTCCATTTATAATTTTGAACGGCTAAACTCCAACTTTCCCTAAAAGATAGGACTAGTAATTAACAAGCATTTAATTTCTGATTATTATCACTTACAAACGGTGATTCTATAGTTGAAAATTTCCTAATAATTAGGAAACTAATTCAATGACACTCTCTCATATTTTTTTTACAAGATACGTATTTCCTTTCAATTCTTACCATTAAATTACTTTTCACTTTTTTCTTACATTTTTGCATTATTCACGAATTTCTCTCAAATTAAATACCTCATCATAAACATTCAGCTTTAGTTTGTCAACTTTTTGCATTGTAGTTGTGTATTAATGCACTTTTATTCTGAACACTATGCACCCTTAATCGATTAAATATTTATGCATTTATGGATTTGCACTCCAGCATAGGATAGTCGCCCTTTTATTCGAAATTTTATGCAACATTAATTAAATTAAATATTATAATTTTTAACACCATTCAATGATGAAACAAATCTAACAAGAAATATCATTTTTATTACATTAGTATCCACATTTATGCCTTTTGCTTGCACTTTTTATAAGACTATTCTACACTTTGCTTATTTATATGTGCACTTTTGTGCATTTTGAATCAAAATGATTTTAAATAAGATGAAAATAAATATAAAACAGAGTGAACGAACAACTACCATGTACATTTAAAATGTAAGTGCACTAATGTATAAAACTCTACATTGTCACCTTTTACAAAATAAAATGCACTTTTATCATGTGCATTTTAGATATATACAAAAGTGCACTACTATATCGAACTTTCTAAAATTCAACATATGCACTCTTTACAAAATAAAATACACTTTTTCTTCCAAATGCATCATAATTGTTCCACTATCTTCTTATGTCGCTCCACATATGCTGCTTAAGACCTTGTAGGGACAATGTTTATCATTCATGCCACTGCAATGCATTCATAATCATAAAAAAGTGTAGCATATACAACGGCGTTAGTGCTCATCATAAAAAACTAGTTTTAGAGTATACTAATACACTGACATTGCATTAAATGAGTCATGTTAGTACTCTTATGGATGAGTTAAATAGGAATTTCATAAAACACACAACCTAAGAAAAAATTTAGAATGACATAAGAATGGAGGATTAGATCAAATAAAGATTTACAATGCACACAAAAGTGTAATAGTGCAATAATAGTAAAAAAAAAGTGCA